GGTTTCCCACCAATCTGGGTTAGTTATACAGTGTTAGTTTAAATCTAAAGGTTCCTTGAAGCACTAAGACATGTTGAATCTTTGGGTCCTACCAGTCTTGACCGATACAAGTATCTAGGTCCAGTAGAAAATTATGTCTAGTCATTCCATTATCAGGGACCAGCGACAATATTTAGAGACACCATTTTGAATTTGCAGTCAGTCTGGTAAAAAGACCTTCGGTTTGACAAATTTTTCGTAACTGTCTGTCCAAATGGCTGGCTGATTTTTAGAGTTTTATCTGGTCTGAAGTGGAACACTTTGTAGTGATCCGTTAATTAGAACTGATAGTCTTCTAAATTTGCATACATCAGATATGTATATATTTGTACGTTTAATTATTCAAATGTACATAGACATGACATGTTGCATGGCAGTTTAAGAGAAGTTCATTTAAAATGCAAATCAAGATTTAATTTAAATGTGATCTACAATTAAGTTAATGTACATAGGCATGGCATGTTTCATGACAGTTACGAAAGCTAATTTGGAATGCAAATTAAGATAGAGTATAAAGGCAGTGACTTAATTAGCCACTGAGGACTGACAGACTGAGAGAGTGAGAGATAGTTATAGATACGGTAGAAGAGTCCTGAGTCTTCAGGCACTTGAATAAACCATGTAACAATTCTTGCCTGTCTCAGTTGTCTTATTGGTGAAAAAGTAACTCAAAGAACAAGTGTATAACCACCGACCGGTTATTACAAATGGCGAGCTCGCCAGGACTCACCTTAAGCAGCTGAGACAGAAAGGCAGTTTTTTAGTCAAGATGCTATATGAAGACGAGGACCAGTATGAAGACCCAGACATCTACAGCAGGCTGTTAGATTGTCTGGGTGGAATCAGTAGTGTGCTGAAGACGCAGGAAACTAGCAAAGAAGATGCACTTTTATTGTCAAATTCCCTTGCAAATCTGTGGGAAGTTATGAAAAAAGAAACAACAGAGTATGACAACAGAAACGAACTATCTTTCGAAGCAATAATACGTAGCATTCAGATGGAAGCGGGGCAGAGAAGCAAAATGGATGATGACAGCTGTGGTGAAGATACCGTAACATGTAAAGAAGTTGGAGAGAGGATCCAGAGCAATGAGATTGTGATCAGCGGTGTTGCTAACAAATCTCCAAAAGATGAATTCCCTGGTGCCGAGATGTTGCAGCTCCCCGATGGAGGCAACAATAATGTGGTCAGTGACGTTGCTGACGAAGCAAAATCTCCCGAATATGAGATTTTGAAATCCCATATGACCAGTGGTGATTCTGATGTATTAAAGTCCCCGAATACAGAAAAGTTGCAGTTTCCTGATGAAGAGAGGTCGTCGCCCGCTGATGATGAGATGTTGAAGTTTCCCTTCGATAAGATGATGAAAACCCCTGATGTTGAAATGCTGCTTGATGAAAAAATGGCCACCAATAAGACCAAACTGATTGAAAATGTGTGTTACCATGAGGACAACGAAGAAAATGACGAACAAGTGAAAGAAAAGATTGAACAAAAGAGATACTATGAGGCCAATGACGGAAATGACAGAAATGATGAACAAGTAATGGAAAAGGAAAAACTGCATGTTGGAGAAATGGACAATGATAAGGCCAAACTGATGGAAAATGTGTGTTACCATGAGGACAATGAAGAAAATGACGAACCAGTGAAGGAAGAGAATGATCTGCGTACTGAGGAAAGGGACAATGATATGGTGAATTTGAATATACTTGCTTATTACAATGATAAAGGCAGAAATGAAAAACAAGGGAAGAAAACAGATGTCTTGCTTGATGCGTTAGAAAGAACTGAAAAACTTAACTTGAACTTGAAAGGTACAGAGAAATGGAGGTACCCACCTCATTGCAAACTAAGGCATTTTTTTAAATTAAAGAAGTAAGTTGTCCATGAGTAATTTTTAATGATTTTTTTCTTTTAATCAATGTATAGAAAAATGGAGGTATCCACTTCACTGGAATTTTTTTTCAATAAGGTTAGTAAATTGTCCAAAGATTGTTTTTCATAAAATTTTCTGTTAATTATTGTATGTCACATTTTCCTTTATTTGCATTTGATTTTCTTAAATGCATACCCTTTGTGTAAGATAATTTCTAACGTTGTTAAATGTGTATTAAATATTGATTTGATTTGATTTGATTTGAGTAAAATGTGTAAAGCAGTCTTATAATTATATTTAAATGGTTTTGTATTTCTACGCAAAGCTAAAGCATGTTTAAAAGTCCTTAAATGCTTATGTGAAGCTATAATTGTTTTATTATTGGTGAAACTGTTAAATATTGGTTAAATTTGATAAGAAGATGTTCATGTACTTTGTATTATAGCTTAACATTCTATCAATTACAGTGTATAAATAGGTGTCGGTGAAATAGGTTTTAAAAAAATTAAGTTCCTTAATTTTTTTCGGTAAAAAAGGGAGATATATGTGTAGTGATCCGTTAATTAGAACTGATAGTCTTCTAAATTTGCATACATCAGATATGTATATATTTGTACGTTTAATTATTCAAATGTACATAGACATGACATGTTGCATGGCAGTTTAAGAGAAGTTCATTTAAAATGCAAATCAAGATTTAATTTAAATGTGATCTACAATTAAGTTAATGTACATAGGCATGGCATGTTTCATGACAGTTACGAAAGCTAATTTGGAATGCAAATTAAGATAGAGTATAAAGGCAGTGACTTAATTAGCCACTGAGGACTGACAGACTGAGAGAGTGAGAGATAGTTATAGATACGGTAGAAGAGTCCTGAGTCTTCAGGCACTTGAATAAACCATGTAACAATTCTTGCCTGTCTCAGTTGTCTTATTGGTGAAAAAGTAACTCAAAGAACAAGTGTATAACCACCGACCGGTTATTACAACTTGATCCTCCAAAATGACCACCATAATTTAGAGATGACACCAATCTCATCAGTGTTGGCCCAATTATATGAGGAAATGTATTTCAAGAACAATAATTTCAGTAGGAGAAACATACTGCTTACATACAGATTCAGAGCTTAAAATAAGGAAGGATGTCCTGAATCCTGAATGAACATTTTCATGATGCATATGTATAAGTACAAATATCACAGGTATACTAGTACTGTATATGCATATACTAGCTAGTACTAGTATGGAACTGCTTCTATGGGTCATTCAATCAATGGAAATGTCAAGGTAAAATTAACTGATTGATCCCTAACCATCTGCTTAATTAACAATGACAAATACAGGGGTGGGGCCGGAGACACAGGAAAATGCTCTTAATGATGACAAACGAGTCATGGATGATGGGACACGCCCAATCTGCTTTCATGTCAGTACAGTTTTAGATTGGAAATAAGGTTATGTTCTCTGATAAAGCAATATCTAGTTTAAATTAGAACTAATTAAGTGACACAAATTGCAGTTTTATGGTAGATGTGTGTATGTGTGTGTGTGGGGGGGGGGGGAGTAAGCAAATTTTAGGTTTAGCAAAATTTATTTTTTCTTCACAAAACTGTTAGGGCTGTAGGCTGCAGGAAGAGGAGGGCTGATGGAGGTATGATAGAGTTCAGTTTTTGGGTGCATCTGAACCTCTATGGAGGGGACCCCCTCATGTACTTTTATAAAGAAAAAAACTTTATCAAAGAAGCATCTAGGCTCCAACTCACAAAGATGGAGATTTAGAAAAATAATTTTTGGTGAATATTTATAGCAAGGTTTCAATCTTTACCTTTCTCAAACTACATCAGCAGTATTGTCTCATTCAGCCAGTGTCTAGACAAGTATCACAACTGGTACAGTATACAAATAACCTGATTGCATGTAATTATTCCTTCGACAGCTGCACTCTGTGATTGCACATCAGATATTATGAATCACTTTCAGCATAAGGTTTGTGTCATATTTTGCAATAAAGCATTTGCTAACAAGATTCCTTGGATAGTACGGTGTCATGTTCTAAAAAATAATCTGTACAACAGCATATATTGAAAAAAATTTAGAAAGTGGCAAGAAGAACAAAAAAAAAAAAAAAGAAAGAAAAATAATAATAAAATTAATGTACTCCAGACTACCTTTACTCTTGAACATGTACTATGAACTACTCAATAAAAAACATGCCCTTCCATGCAACAGAAGGGCAGAATGAAAAGAGAATAAAACAAGAAAATAAAAAAATGTGTAACAGAAACAAGAATTAAATATTTACATGACTGCAGAAAATTTATCAATTGATCTTTATCAAGAAATGGACACTTGTAATCCACACTCTTGTCAACAGGACGTAAAAAACATCTCTCCACTTGCAACTGAATCACTTCCTGACAACCAACATAACTGACTGAGTGATATAGCTGTACACATGATTAATGGGCTACATTAATGTGATTGCGCACTACAAGATCCACTAGCAACATACAGTGGCTTAAGAGCATGGAAATCCTATTCTACCGGGGATATCAAATAACAGAACACTGCTGTGGAACCTTATTGTATGTATGTCATTAATTTCATACAATGCAGGAAAGAAGGTAATGTACCCAAAGACCTGCACTTCACTTGACTTCAACTTTCAGGATATTTATTACACTGTAGGACCTTCAGTTCAGAATAGAACATTTTTCCCAATGTACGCGCAATTTTTTTTATTCTTATTGATCTCCCTGGTAAAAATGCATAGGCAGCAAATAAAGATAGTGATAGATTACAGATAATTAGTATTGCATTTTTAATAAAAAAATGTCACACATTTTTCAACATTTAAAGGCAGCAATCTTAATTTGACAAGATATAATTTAGTTTTTTCCTTAGACTCATGTGAGATGAGATTAAAAAATAATAAGTGATGAAAGTGGTTGAGTTGGGTAAAAGACATAACTGCAAACAAACTGGGACCATCAAAATCAAACAAAAGTTAGCATATGGCATAAAACTGAAATTATATAGTAAACATTTCGTTCTAAATATTTTTAAGAAAGAAAAATTGTTACTCATACACCTTCCTCACCTTGGCTGCCTCTTCGTGCGTTATGTCAGAAAAGTTCACTTGGTTAGCTGACAATATCTGATCACCTGTACACAAGCCTTGTCTGTCAGCCAATGACCCTGGCTCTACCTGTGAGACGTAAATCCCAATCCCATGCTCAGCACCACCACGAATACTCAACCCCCAGCCTTCATGACTAGAATTTTTCTTCAACGTCACATTATTAACAACATTGTTCTCACTTTTTTCCACGTCAAAGGTATTGTTGACCTGTCTGTATATTTTGCTCTTCGGTGGCTCACTTGGCCTTCGGATAATCTCTGAACTTTTTGTCCGCCTCAAGCTGAAGGGTTGCTGTGATGGAACGCTGGAAGTTCTACGTAGGCCGTGTTGGTTCAAGTAGGGTGTGTTTAAGGGTATTGATGTGATAGGATCATTGTACATATACTGGTCAAAGGCATCTTGGTCAGAATGTGGCATAACTTTCCGTAACAGAGGTATAATTTGTCTTTTTACAGAGTTGTCAAAGATGAGCTTTAGCGCTTGCACAAAGTCATACACATTACGTTTAGAATGATATACATTTAGTGCTTCGATGAAATCACTTCGGTCCTCCTCTTCCAAGAGAGTGTTGACGGCTTCTTGAAGACGCCTCACATTCACAGAAAGAGTCCTCTGCGGGGGAATTCTCACCGGTGATGGAGACCTAAGATAGGTCATTTCATACTCGATGGATGACATGATTATTGCAATATATTCCCAGAAGAAGCAACCTGGCTACCTTTTACACTCTACATATTTCACACCTGAAAATTAAAAAAAAGTTGTTTCAGTTACAGGTGTAAAAGAAATCAAAACACAATTATTTGTTTTCAATAATTCGTATATAAAGCTAAAAAGTTTAACTACATATGGGTCGTCGACGAGAACTTTGAAAAGCTGTCTTTCATCTTAGCTCAAGTAAGTCGTCGAGTTTTTACATAAATTTTGTTAGCGTTAGCATCGAGAGCCTCACAATTAACCTTTAATTCATTAAAAAAAACTTGCAATGTTTACACACGTACCTGTGTCAAACCTCTCCAAACTTCCCAGCCGCCCAGCCAGCTTTCAAATCAATATTTCTTTTCACATCATTGGGGCACTTGCGCTTCAGGTTGCGCAGTCACGTGATCAAACATTGTTTCATTTCCTGTTCCTGTATCATTCTCCAAACTGTGACCTCGTCTTCATCGATAGCTAAAACTCGTTTCCCAACTTTCCAGTAAAATTCGATTCAGCCGAAAAATGACGACAATCTGGTCGACACTGCAATATCTAGTCTATGTCAGCCTAAAAACTGACAACTTAAAAAATATTAAACATTATTCTTCTTCTTCAATAAATAAAGAAATAAATTGAAAAATATTTGACTTATTTTTTCTACTTTAAAATAGACAACTTAATTTTACACAGGAGCAGTGGCGGATTTAGGGGGGGTCAGGGGGTCCTAACCCCCCCCCCCCCCCTTCGTTTTCTGGTCCCCTCTTGAAATTAGAATTTTGACTAGCTGAATCATGGTTCTACACCGTACCAAATGGCACCGTTCGCCCTCTAAAATAGGCCTACCAAAATTTTTCGGGGCCCGCCAAGTAGTGTGTGTGTGTGTGTGTGTGTGTGTGTGTGTGTGTGTGTGTGTGTGTGTGTGTGTGTGTGTGTGTGTGTGTGTGTGTGTGTGTGTGTGTGTGTGTGTGTGG